GGTTCAAACCGCGCCCTGCAGGGAACGGGCTCGGCGCTGTTATGGAGTCGCGGACGCAGTCCGGCACCCGGCGGCCGTCATGTGGGCTGCTGTTTGCGCGGGGGCATGGGCCATTCGGATTCAGCTCTACCAGCCAGCTGCTCACGCTGGCGCCGCGCTCCCAGGTAGGATCGGGCCCGGGGAGCCGGGAGTGGGAAGCGGGCGGGGGGTGAGGCCTACCGCTGCACTCAGCTGGGCTGCCCCGCCGGCCCCGGCACTTGTTCCTCGGCCGAGCTCGCTCCCGCTCCACCCCTATGGCTGCGGGACTCCCCGGCGCCTCAGCGGCTGCCGCCTCTCCCACTGCGGCGCGCCAGGCGGGAAAACCGCCCCTGCTCCGGCCCAGAGCCTACGTGCGGCGGCTGGGGGGGCCCTTCGCAAGCCCGGAAGAGGGGAAATTATCCTTGTTTGTTAGGCTCTAATCCGACTTTTATTTTCTTTTTGTCTTAGGAAAACACGGATCCCCAGAGAATAGCATTTCTACTGCGCAAGCACTGGACCTTATACAGCGTGACCCCTCTGTACAGGTTCTCTAACGCTCATCTGAGGAATTACTCCAGACTGCTTAGTGCTTTCATTGCTGCCGAGAGGCAGGAAGGATGGGCGGTGGAAGTAGGGATTGAGTTGGACATCAAAGTGGCTATCTCCAGCCTTCCAGACCTGAAAGGTAGTGACCAAGACCATGCTGCAATCCTTGTGCAGGTAAGGAGTCTTCCTTGTAGTTTTGAGAATTTAGACTTGTATTTTAGAAGTTACTGTCATAAAATGCTCTGTCTCTAAAAAAAAATCCAAAACCTAAACCCTAGCTGTATGGAATAACTACTGTAGTATCTGTTGACTGTCTTATTTTTAGGTTGGAACAGAACCTCTCTTAACTAATGGATATGTTTAATTGCAGGTTTGAGTTCCACTCTTTGATAAAATTAGAATATGACTGTAAGAAGCAATATGTGTCTCATTTTTCAGTTCAGCAGTCAATTTACTGCAAGAATTTAGGTTACTTAGCTTCCTGGATAAAGCTGGTATAATCCTATCTCTTGGCTGTGGCTCAGGTCTAATTAATATTTCTGAAATGCTTAGCCCCAAGTGAAAGATAGTACTGAAATGCAAAGTTTAGTATGGCAAGGGTTACAGGATGTACCATGGATTGGCTTTTCCGAATTAAGCAGCATAATCTCAGATTTCAGGACTGTTCCTAATGAAGTGAAAAGTGCTTTCTCTGCTGTTTTCAACAGAATTGCACACATCTTTCAGGGATGTAAGTGATAGACTGAATAACCGTATACACTTTACAGAAAAGAATGTTGCATGCAAGGTCCTGAGAAAAAACTTCTACCCAACACATGAAACAAAACCTGGTTTTGACAAAAAAAGTCAAACTACTTCTGTAACATTCAAATGCTTCTTTTCCCCATCCCAGCTTTTTTCAAGATCGCCAGTTTCCAAAAAAAGCTTAGAAGAGAAACTGATATGGTCAGGCTGTTTCTGCTGTGTGTGTGGAGATGATTTTCTCGAAAACATGCCAGAGGACTTCACTTGTTTACCTCTGTTTCTTACTAATGGGGCAGAGAGTTACACAGCCATTGTTGGAAGTTGGTTTCAGAAGACATTCGACTGCTGCTTCCATCGTTTAGCCATCAGCCCTCTCAATCTCAGCTGGATGGCAGCTATGTGGACTGGATGCAAAGTGGACAAAATGGCATCTGCCATAGAACTCATCTTCTCTGTCCCTGGTCTCCTCCAGCCTCTGGATATTTCATATGCTATTCATCCAGAGGATGCAAAAGCTCTGTGGGACACAGTCCATAAAACTCCAGGAGAGATCACTCAAGAAGAGGTGGATATCTTTATGGACTGCCTTTACTCTCACTTTCACAGACACTTTAAGATCCGCTTGTCTGCTGCAAAACTGGTGAAAGTTTCGACAGCAATTGCTTCAGCACACTGTGATGGAATTATAGAGGTGAGGTTTTAAGTAGCATGTTGACCTATCTAATGCTGGACAAATAAAACAGCTGTACTTATCTAGAAATGCTTCTAAAAATGAAGGTCTCATGTTTCTTGCACAATTTTCTACAAGAAGTTGTTAAACCCTCATCCTTTGTTAGTCATAACTCATTCTGGAGTTGGGGCAGCTATCAATACAGTATTTTACTACTGTATTGCAGCTGAAACTACTAACACTAGTCTTGGACCAGAAAGGTTTATTAGCTGTGGTATGGACAGGAAAATTTCTTTGCCCTTTGGCTGAAACTTAGGCTTAAAAAGATCCCAAACTTAATCAAAAACCTTAAAGTAGTTTAATAGCTTTTTAGTAGTACAGTTATTAAGACACAGGCAGAAGACAAATATAATTAATGTGCTACACAAAAATAGCTTGTGTGTGGGTGAGCCAAGAGACAACAGATGATCTTGTGCTTCAAAACAGCTTGCTTAGAACTACTTCACCTGTAACCCTTTTCATCAAGGTGCTGGTCTTCCTAGAGAGGTATCTATAATATTCTTCAAAACCACAGAGGATTAATACTTCCTGAAGTTTCTTCAAGCAATACAATACTTTCTGTGTAAAAGTGATTGCTTCAATTTAGTCTATCTTTGTGCTGACTCCATTGTTCTGGGTGTAGAGGAATGTTAAGAGGCTACAGCTGGGATCTCACTCATGCACCTCTTTCCTGGAGCATGTGTTCATCACATGAAAGAAAATAAGTTTTGCTGGGAAGCATCTCTTAACAGCTTCAGCCTTTGGTAGGACAACTGCAACCACTACACATTTAGTGTTACATTGCTTGTTTTTATCTGTAGTAATTTAGAAGTGGCTGAAACAACTTTTTATCTTGCCAGTAGGTAAACACAAGAGATACTCAACAGCATATGCTTTCCAAAGAGGGGTTCTCTTCTGGAATGGGTGTTGAGTAAACTGTTATGGCTCTTCCATAATGGGGATAATGATTTCAAGTCAGACATATATTCAATATGGGAAAGTAGGGATATTCAGGGAAACTGGCATGTCTCCTTCCTGGTCTTCCTCCAGGAGGAGGGAGGTAGCTGAAGGAACAGAAGTGCTAGGATTCTCATCTTCCAAAAAAGCTGGATTAGGAGCAGGGCCTTTCTGAGGCACCCTGCTTCAAACAAGACAGGAGCAGAATTCAGAGGGCTCTGAAAGGAGCAGCATGTAGGCAAGTGTTTTCTCCATATCCAGGGTGAAAATAGCACCAGAAAGGTACCTTGCAAACAGCAACTGAGAAGCTAATCACATGGAATGCTTAGTAGTTTCCACATTTAAGGGTGTGGAAATTTGGCAGCTGTAGTTTTTGCTCTGACATGCTCTTCTTTCTTGCAGTTTCTACAAAGCCAATACCTAATTGGAGTGCTGAAGCTACTGACAGAACTAGCAATCTCCCAGATACAGTGAGAGTCACTTCAGCAAATCTTCATGCTGAAAAGGCTTACTGCTGGAAGATGTATGCTGAGAAACCAACTGGAAACTCGCTCCTGCAGCACCTTCTTTCCTTTCATGCTGACTGTCCAAAGTTGGACTCAACTCCAGCACTCAACTCTAGCTGTAATTCAACATCATGCACAGCAAAGACAAGCAGACATTTTGCCCTGAAGAAAGGCTACAGTGCAAACTTCTAATAGCTGTTGTTTTATCATAGTCTATACCACTGTTTTATAGTCACGCTGTAGATTTGTGTTTATATAGCAGCCAGGGACTAGAAGATGTAAATTCTTGGATGCAACTTATTGACAGGTTATTTCTGTTGTTCTAAAGAGCAAGTTGGTTTTCACTTAACTAGATAGCCTTAAGCTATACAGACCTTAGCTAAACTGTGATGATGCTTGGGCCAGTCTAAATGCAAGCACAGCTGAGAAAGTGTGCATGCTCTACAACCCAGGGCAGAAAAATCCAGGTTTCTAACTTCCTTTTGAACTTGCTCTGGCCAGTTGGTAATGGTCATAAAGTGTTTATCTATGCCCTAGTTGGGCTAAGGGAAACAGCAGGAGACTGACAACTGCCTTGTGTGTCCCCCCTGTTGCTCCTTTCAGACACATCTGTGCATAAGCTAGGTATTTACTATGCTTTGCCTGATGTTTGTCTTTGATGTAGTCTGGTATACTTTTAGGGTTGGACCTATGGGTGCTACAGTTTTATACTGGGTCTCTCCCTTCTACAGTAGGTAGAAGTTGAGAGAGCTACTACACAGTACCTGGCTCTAGCTTCAATTAGCAGAAAGGAAGTAGAGGAAGTACATGCTAAATGTTACAATGCTAAGTGTTAGGATTTTTGTATTATAGTTCTAATAAAGAAAATCTGTCATCTTTTGCCAGTATATGGGTCTTGAGTCAAGTGAAGGGTACCTATGCCTCATTAAATATATACTTACAGGGGTGCTTGTCTTCCACTCTAGCTTACCTGACTAAACTACTGATTGTTACTTATTAAATAATTCTTTGAGCAGCAAAATTTTAAATTCTGGTTTCTTATACAATTCACTTGAAATGGCTTCACACTTGTACAGCAGCTTTAAGGTCTGATGAGTTTGTGCTGTTACCTTTCCCCTAAGCAGGGATGCAATTTTCCCTTCTTAGCCCAGCCACATAATTTTAGGATTTGTCTGCTGTCACTGAAAACTTTCTTCATTCTTCTCTGCAGCAATACTGAGATGAACTAGCTATGCAAACATGTAACAGTCTAACATAACTAACTGCATGCCTAATTCCTAATCTACTTAATTATTTCTAGAATCAGCCAAAGAAACATGTACTTTTTAGTTTTTATTAGTTGAAGATAGATTACTTTTGCATGTAAATGTTGCAGTCTGTGAAGTGGTAACTCTTACTCTGGTAGAAGCAGCTAAGCAATCTTCTGAAGGTCCTGACAGCTCAGCAGCTATTAATAAACTATCACTTCTGGTGCTTTAGTTTCCTTTTATGAAACATCTTAAAGCTTGCTATCGTGATTCAGAGGAACACTGGGTAAAGCAGGAAGAGGAGGTCTGATATAACTAGAACCTGTATTTGATTTGAAAACAGAACTGTTACACCCATGACTTAGATTTAAATCTAATGCTCAGCTCTTTCCAAGAAATTTGCATAAATAATTCCTAAAAAACTAAATGCCCATGTAGGTCATTTTAACTTCTTCCTTGTCTTAAGAACATACAGTGGAATATGACTATGAACTACAGCCATACTCAGCTTTCAAGAATGATGCTTTGCTATGTATGTGTGGTATCTACTACAGCCTAGCTGTATTGCTGGAATGAAAAGCTACTTCTCTTTTTTACATGCTTATCTGCAAATTGGGGTATAGCCCTCATCAACAACTGCAGTTACATGAATAGAGCTAGATCTAGCCAGATAGTGCTGATGCTTTCTTCCAGAAAAAGCTGGTCCTGAATGTTGTGCTTTTAAGTGATTGAGGGTAACACTAAGCAGCAGAGTTTTTATCCAGTTTTACTTGGACTAGTACTGGCAAAATATACCACACCAACAAAAGCATTGTAGATGACTTTCACCCAAAGGAACAAACAAGGAAGAGCATAGAAGAAATTTATTAAGATAGCACTATTTATACAAGTTACTCATGCTAGAAAAAAGCATAAATGATACATGTAAACATTTGTTTACAGAATACTTGTTTTCCTTGTAAAGGTGCAAATGATCTTCATATGTAAACACAAGAATACCAACCTTTAGGGGAAAAGGGGCTTTTAAAAAAGTTTTAATGATCCATTTATTACTGTAATTTTTATTATATTCAAGCACATTAAAATCTGAGTTACATTAATCAAACTATGAAGTTAAAGAACTTAAGATATCAGCACTGCCTTTTTCATCTCAAGAATTTACAGTCCTCTTCCTCTTTTAAAAATCAGATTTAGTAAGGTCCAAAGTTATCAGGTGCAAAAGGGCATTCTTTCATACCAGATAGAAATTACAGTACAAACTTATCAGAACCTTTGAGTCTAGAGTCCCTCATTCCTCTCCCCCTACCCTGGGTGCCTCCACAGTCATTTAAACATGACAGTTACTCACAGTGCCAGAAAACAGTCCCCCCCCCCTCCAAGCTCTTTAATGAGCCTCATACCTTTCCCTGCTCTGAACCAACACAGGCAAAGCATGTAAGAACAACTGAAAGGGAGGGAACCATCTCATCAGTGTTTTACAAGATTTCTAAGGACACAGACAAGGGGCAGGAGGGCAGCTAACATGATGCTGGTCTAAGCTTTTTTCAGTAGGAGCTGGCTGCAGGTCTGCTGTTCTAGCGAGAACCTGAGAAGTGAGTGTTGATCTAGGCCAGTCAGAATTAACAGATAATACCTGCATCCCAGCTTCAGACAAGAAAAGATATCTAGCAGAAAACGTGAGAATAAGGTTTTTGTAAGTAAGCAACAACTAGTTGTTTCCAGGTTCATATACAGGGGAGGGGAGAGACAAAAGCTGAAATTTAGTACCATACACTGTACAGTAAAAAGGCATCATTTGAAATCCTTTTCACTCTCACTCTTTTTGGGCATTTCACTGATTTCAGTTCATAGATGAGAGTTCCAGTTCTACTTCTTGCCTCCAGCAAGACTGAAAAGATACTCAGGGCACCCATCCTCATAGCTGTCCTGTACTCTTAAGAGACACCCTAAAACATACCACAAGGGTTGGAACCACAACAGCTGGCAGGACACAGCCCTGCCTGAACCACCAGCTTGTCAAAACTCAAATCACACACGCATATACATATATAAAATACATATATATATGCACACATATATGTATATAAAAAGCCAGAATTATCGCTGTGAGCGATACAAAGAAAATACATGGTACAAATTAAATGAAAAAATAAATATACTCTGTGCACAGAAAAGCTTCTGTGCAAAGGTGGCACCTTGCAGGTCAAGTACTTTTTTGAAGCTCTCTGTAAATAAGGCAAAAGCAATGTTTTCTGTATCACTTTCCTCTTTCACCCACCACACAGCTGCCACATCCACTGCTCACACAGCAGGAGGAAAAGCAGGAAACCCTCCTCCTTGCCAGACTCCCAGCATAGCATGTAGTCTCTACATCAGCATTGTTTACACTACAATAACTTTTACAGTTTGGTTTATTCAAAAATGTAGACTATTTAGAAAAAATATGGACATAAGCAACACCTCTACTTTTGTCCAGCGGTTCCCTGGAGTCTGACAACATGGTCTCCCATTGGGCACACTCTCAAAGAAGTCATTTTTATAATTCCATAGAAAGAGTCACCGGCAAAGAGTTACATTGGATCTAGACTGTGCATACTAGAGCTGCAAAGAGGTCCAGTGTCAACAAGTCTCTTCAGTTTTTGCAGGAATGAGAACCAAGGGGTCTCCCTCCCTCCTGATGCTTACCATATATGAGATTCACAGTGTGTCATTTTGATAACACCTACTCCTCCTCCCAGCCGCCGATAGTTCATCCCACCATACAACCTGCAAAGACAAGGTTTCAGTGGTCACACTGGTTCAGCTCCTTCTTGGAGCTACCATGGGAAAGACTGAACCAGCCCTTGTGAGCACAATTACACCACTGTTAACCTCTGGTTAAAGCAGACAAGTGACAAGCTGGGTAGCAGCCACTGAACATACTTCCAAGGTAAACAGCTGTATTTGCTCATACCTCTCTCAAAACAGGCACTGCTTGTTTTGACACTGCAGTTTTCTGTTACTCAAATAATGACTTGCTTTCTCTCCATCTGGTAACGTGAAAGATAAAAGAACTTTGCAGGCTGTAGCTGACCTTGGGCTACATTCTGGATAACACATGAGCAAGGATAGGTTTGCTACTTACAATTCAACTATTTTATATTTCTAATACTCTAAATTCAGCTGATCCAACCAAGATGTAACACATCCCAAGCACCATCTGTTTCTCCAAAATGTGTTACTGAAATGGTGCCTGTATTTCACATGGAAATCTGAACCCTATAGACTCCAGCATCCTACTCACTTCAGCTGCATATTCCTCTCTGTGTCACTGAAGTTTGCTGGCAGAAACAGAAGAAAGTTCTTCAGACAACTCCTGCCAATGCAATTTGTTAAATCCAAATTGCACTGGAAGCATTTCTCTGTCAGTCTACACAAATAAAGTCGTTCACTGAGCAAGAAGTTCAGCAAACAAAGACGACCACAGATGTTGATCAGCTATATCAAACACAGTAGAAGAAAAAACCTACAAGCTAGTACCTTGAACAACCTTTTATACTTATGTGAATGCTAGCCCAGGCAGTAACTCCTAACTCTAGACATCTTACTACTGTTAATGTCACTGGAGGTAGGTGACACCATTCAGTTAAGGAATATGAAGTAGGTATTACTCTCTACTCAACTTTTTTTTAAGCAGGTCAAAAGGCATCGTCCATAACTCAAACCAGGGGACAATAACTCCACTGCTGCTTATGACAGCTTATCTCATAGGGAAAGGGTTAATCTACTAGTGTTACTAGGCTGGAAGGAATAAGGACATTAATATCTATTCCTCACCCCTGCCAGATTACTAAAGCAACAAGAATACAGATAAGAGCTTGAAATTTAATGCTAATTAGATTTGGGAATGAATACACAGGCAATTGCTTTTAAGTGCAGTTATGACTAGAATAGAAAAAATAGAGGCTCTGCTCAGTACGTGGTTCTGATCATCTATTTCATATTATTTGTCTCATGGAAGATCAGCTGAAATTCTTCTAATTGCTGTCTTGCAGATTTAAAGAGGAAGAACATCATATGAACATGCTCAAAGTGTTCTGTTTCAGCTCCTCCAAAATGATCTGGAAATCAGAGCCCCAGCTTGAAAGCAAAAAATGAGTAGGCTAAATTCTACATCATGACTGTGAGCTCCTTCTGCTAAGGGCAAGCTTAGCTTTACTGGGAAGCAGAAGAGACTCATCCCAAAATAAACAGAAGGGGTGTATCTCTCTCAATGTGGTCCATTTTTCTTGTGTTCAAAAGCAGCACTTAAACCAAACTAGGTTTTGGTATGACCTTTTGCTTGCTACCCAACAAGCCTGCTAAATCATTTATTTTCTCTAGGTCTCAATAACCTACCTATACACCATTTTCCTACCTGCAAAAGATATGAGACTATTCATTAAGTGTTGGTTAAATCTGTTGGGATACTCGGATAGAAAACACTATGGAAAACTCAGTCCCATTTGACTTAAAATGGAGTCAGTGGCTGGAATTCCACCAGAAATCTTCAAGAAAAATGTTTCTCAACTGCCAGTCAGATGTAGGGGTAACATAGATCAATGGCATATTGGGTTATTTATCAAAATGTGATTCTCTTTCTTACACTTTCAAGCAAGCCAACAAGCCACAAGGTGTGGTAGTCAGCATAACATTCACATAAGTTCTTTGCTATGGTGTAGGGCACATTTTAGTCTGGCTGGGACAGCTCCAGTTGGGTGGCAGCAGCTCCAGCTGGAGATCACTATTTGATAGTTTCACAAACTTAAGTTACCTCCATGTGTTAGCATCTGGATCAAACACCTCAATGGTCTTCAAGTACGTTGTGCCATCAAAACCACCCACTGCCATCAGCTGTCCATTCACCACTGCGAGGCCAACCTGCAAAACAACCACCACAGATAGCAGCTACTTAGCTGGGGTGTCCTGAAAAGTCAGGCCATGAAAAGAAGGGTTAAAATGAAAATATTAATAAAAGGATTTAATAACCATGTTTGGTGAAAGACAGTCTGCAGTAGAGGGGTTTTTTTGGGGGTAAAGGTCATATAAAAGCCTAAAAAATAACTAGACCTGAAAAGTTATCTCAAAACAGAGAACCTCTTAAAGAAAAAGCTGAAGATTCCCCTTATTACCAGCTACAAGAACTAGAACTGCTTGAATGATAATAGGCATATAAGAACCTAAGCCTTTATCAGCCAAAACTTACTATGTCCTGCATATTCTCCACTAAGTGTGACATGCGTGCACCAGAATATCTACAAGCCTACAGCCTGAAACACTTAAAATAGAACCATATGTAAGCCCCGGCCTGCTCCTCTCAGGCTGGGGCTTGGACCATCTGTAAGCACCTTGGCCCCCAGCCCTTCCGCTAAAGCACAAAATCACTGAAATCTCAAACATTTCTGTGGTTTAGG